CAGGAAAGGAAAGAAAGGAAATTAAAATATTTACTTTTTCGAAAAGTTTTTGATTGGCATAACTCAAATTTATTTCAGGGCTGCAATTTATTTGCAAAAGAGGTATATATAACAGGAAAGGAAATTAAAATATCTACTTTTTCGAAAAGTTTTTGATTGGTATAACTCAAATTTATTTCAGGGCTGCAATTTATTCATATTGCTTGCAAAAGAGAAACAAATACGAACTCACTCTCACCGAAATTCTTATGTGTTTCAGATTTGAGAATCCGTTGTAATTTCGCTCTTTGGCGTTCCAACTCGTCATCTTTAATGACCAAAGTGGCTTCTAAATTCTTGCATTTTGTTTTTAAGGCTTCTATTTCGGCGGTTTGATTTCTATATTTCTTGCCAAGTTCGATCAATTTTGTCGTGGCCGGTTCGATCGGCTTCCCTATTATATTTTGCAAATTCAATTTTTCTTGCGACAAGTTACGCAAATTTTCCTCCGCTTGTTCAAACGATCGTCGTAAACACTCATTCTCCGCCGTTAAATCCTATCATACAATTATTATCTGAATACGATATTGAGCTACTCAATAAATTGCAGGATAAAAATAAAATATATGTAGTCATATAAGAAAAAACTATATTTATGTTCAAGAAAATTATTATTTTCGCTCTTTTTAGTTTTCTTAGTGATATTATAGCTATAAGTACATTATAGGGCAAATATATTTTTATTTTATAATCAATATTTTTATTTTTAGAAAGAGATTTTATATGTATCAGAATTATACTTACATGAATGCGATTCTGCAAGAATTTATTTAACTCCTCTGGGAATATGATACGTTCGGGGAACTGTCCCTATATAAAATATATATAAATAATCGCATATATAAAGAAAATAAAATGTACAATATATACGAGCAATAACGAAAGAAATAAAATATTGATGATGTTGTCTGTTTAAAGAAATGTTACATATTTTGAAATTCTCGTGTGTATTAACCGCTAATATTATGTCAAATGTATATCCAGAAAAAATGCACAAATACCTCTACGAATTTCGATGATGATACATCTTCATCATCAAGAGAATTATTTATCTCTAACTTAGCTATATCATCTGCCATTTTTAGTATTTAATCGAAAATATTCGATATAAACTTATGAAATGACAACCTCGAATATATTGCCACATGCATTGCTGCTCCCGTTTGTAAGTTATCCGCAGAATAATAATGGAATTCCGTCCTTATGCAAAATTATGCATTACTGATATCGCAAAACGAGATTAATACAAAGCTAGGAACGACGATTCGTTCTATTCATGAGCGTGTGTTTTTACAATGACAAGTGTCAAAAATGTTCATACTGAATATGAAGCGAATGTTCTTTCTACAAATATATATGCTCGTTTGTTCTACACATACATACATAGTACGAACGAAGATCATGTTTATACTCGAAGATGCAATATTTAAATTATGCATTTAACGCTCTGATAAGTTTACTGATGATTTATTGCGCGATATATTTACGAGTATTTTATATGTAATTAATCCAAATAATTATATAAAGAAAGAATTGTTGCATGACTAATTCTTACACCCAACAAAATTCTCTCAATAATTTATATATATGAGATATATGATAAACATATATAAAATATGATTACTGTAATACATATGAAACAGATTACATTTAATATATATATATAAACCAAATGACTATAGAAAATACAATATATGCGTTATGTGATAAAACAATCCTGTATTATTAATATGAAAATTCTATTCTGAAGTTGCTTTCTCATTCATAATACTAAATGTTCCAAACGATAATCTTGCAAATAATCGCATTGTGAATTAATTATTTATTTTATTCATTTTATATAACTTTTATTGTGTTATAAGTTTTTTATTCTTTAGTATTATTTTTCCTTCTTCAATGATTTCTTCTTTCCCTGATTTCCGCTAGCTAATTTTTTAGCTTTTTGAAACACTTGCGGCTTCTTATTCTTGGCAATTGCATGCTGGCTTGTTGGCAAATGACTGGCAAAATATTTGCCAACATTTGTTTTTTTGTTATCATTGGATTTCATTTTTACAATAATCTGTTTGTTTTTGAGGAATGTATGATGTAACAAGAGCCCTTTCTGTTAAAAATACAAAAAAAAAATAACAATAAGAACATCCAATAAATTATGATAAAGAGTATGGTAAAGTGCTTTTACCTTGCAATCTGTACTATTATTCATCCACACATATGCAACTATAGGAGGTCTTTTTATATTGGATTTATTTATCACAACCCTGGATACAGCATCAACCTTGGTCAAGAAATGTTGTTTGAGCTCATCTTCTGTCACACTATAAATTAGATATTATTAAGATTTATATAAAAAGTTAAACAATAAAAATGTTAAAAAATAAGACTATATGCTCTTACTCTAATGGTAAATTGTATACATAAAGGAAATGTTGATTCTTTTGATCTGTATACAAAGATTGTGTAGCTTGTTTTTTCATCTTTTTTACACCCTCATTTTTTACTTTCAAAATATTCGCTTTTTCTATATCATCTTCAGCATCTTCATCCTCTTCATCCTTTTCATCTTCATCGCTTTCATCATCAAATTGTTCATTTGCATTGTCCATAGATTCTTCTTTTTCTGTATCGCTCTGATCTTCGTCACTTTCATCCTCATCATCTTGATCATTCATCTCCTGTTTGACTTTAACTTTTTCATGTTGGACATGTTCCTTTTTCACTTTTATTTTATCTTCATTATCCTCATTAGATATCTTTTCAATCTTCACAATTGCACCTATTTGCTGTTTATTCTTCTTGTTACTTTTCTTTTCTATTATATTTAATTTCTCTGAATTATTTGCCGATTTCTCCAGCTTCAACTTTCTATTAAGTACTGCCAAATTCTTTTTTGCGTTCTTTGTCAACACTTCCCTATTCCTGATTTCTTCTATTTTTGCCTCTATCTCTTCTATACTAAGTGTAATGGATGCAGCATTTCGTAAATTCCTACTTCTTTTTCTCTTACGTAAATCACGCTTTATTTGCTTCTTTTTCAAATTTTTTAATTTCTTTTCCACTATTTTTTTACTAACAGATTCTTCATCGAGCTTAGCAATAGGTAATTTATTTTCTCCTTCCTTCTTTATCTTTGCTGAAGATCCTATATTAATTTGTTGTTTTGCTTTCTGTTTTTCCTTTTGTTTGTACATCTTCTTGAGAATTTCTACTTTATTCCCCATTGTAGAATTTCCATTTTGTACTAAAGCAAGTTTGGCCTTTTTAGGACTTTTCTTGAGTTCAGTAATATTCTCTTGTTTCTGATCTGGCTTTGTAGAAAGAGAAGTCTCGCTCAGAGATCGTTTCTTTCCTTTCTTATCTACCTTAGTCTTCATTTGAAAATTTATATTTTGTGACGCAAAGTAAAAAATAAAAATGAATAATTAATACGTAGATTGATACGTATTTAAATCCTGAAAGCAAAATTAAATACATTTTATAAAATTTAGATCTTTAATTAATATATATGTATATGAAATACATCATTCTTTTATAAAAATTTTGTTTGCTGGACATATATAAAAAATATCTACTTTCGCGTAGAAAATATTTTTAAATACCACAAAATAAAATGTTTAACTTACCTTTTCATTAAAAATTGAAGATATTTTCCAGCCAAACTTACAAAATTATGCCAGATATACGAGCGCTTCACGGTTATGTTCCAAACAACGTGCTCGCTGCATAGAGGGTTAGAAGGAATAGAACAGAATGGAACAATGGAAGGAATGGAGCGAAAAAAATTTGTGTACTACGTCATAGGTTGAAATCACTATCGATAGCATTACACAATCGATATATACCGAGTTAAGGTACAATTTCATGTGCTGCAAACTCGTGCAGCAGAGAGGTCACGTGATTGAAATAGACGAATGAGTGACGACGGTGTGGCCGCTGATTCGTCCATTTCGATCACGTGACCTCTTTGCTGCACAAGATTGCAGCACATGAAATTGTACCTTTATGTTAAATCCACAGACTTCTATATATTACTAGACCGCTAATGGCTCTGCTTTTTCGGAAAAGCAGAGCTCTCATTGAATATCGCTCATCGCGTCCAGTGTGCGTCCTCAACACTCGGTCTAGATATACTATGTCTATGGTATATACAAAACGCGCACACACAGCACACACGCACACACAATCGCACACACACACACACACAATCTCACACACACACACACACTTTTCGTCTGTACACATTAGAGCGTAAGAGGAGCTGAATACTACATTAAAAAGAGAGAGCAACAGTGATGTCCGAGATGCTGTCTCTTTCTTCACATTTTCCTTAAATACCTTTTTTTCTGTTTTCCAATCTTTACTATGCCATTCCTTTTTTAGCAGTCTCCATAACAATATCTTCTTTTTTGTTTTCATAATTGAACTTTTTACCTTCTCCTTCAGCTCTTTCCAAATATTCTTATTCTCTATTTGCGTGCTTTTCCATCCTTCACATCTTTCATGATAACTTTCTCTTCCCTCTTCTGTCCAATCACTTTTTTCAATAACTTTAGTTGATGTTATTTCCTGCCTTATTACATATATGTTGCTATATTCTATTATTAAAATAGTTGCACATGTGTGTGTATGTGTGTATATATAGTCATATAATATTATTTTATTAATCTGCTATATATGTGTAAATCTAAAAAAATTATTTCATTCCTGAAATAAAACTCAAAATTCGTTTCATTTTAAACGATTGACATCAAATCTAAAAATATCGAATTTCGATATTTTTATCATTGTCGAGTCAAATTGTTTTAAAAAAAGAATTAAACAATTCTAATTTAAGGAAGATTAATCAGATCATACAATCCAATTATATATATTTTATACCAGTTTAGATTATTTCGACTTTACCAGTTCAATAATGACGTTACAATATATTTACTGTTATTAAAGCGATATTTTATAAGCATCTAATTTTTTACTTCATTTATTCTATAAAACCGACATAGATACCAGTATATAAATATCATTGTTTTTATAACAGTTTTAATTCCTTTATTATAATAGTATATATTAAAAGCTATTTAATTATAATAAATACCTATATGCTCTAATTTTATTAAATTATAATTTTGCATATATGTAACTAAATATCTCTAAATTGTATGTGTGTGTATAAATTTATAAATACGCCTATTTTATTCTTTCTTTCCGCCTTTTATTGCTTCAACTTTTTTGATAGCGCGCGCTTCATCAGATCTCAATTCTCAATTATCGCATAAAGCGATTAACTCTCAAGGAATCGCAATAGATTTCCATGCATTCAAGAAAACAATAAAACTCAGAGTTTCTGCTTTTATTACATTCGTCGACAATTACAAGTAAAACGAGACGGGTGAACGATTGTGCGCTACCCGATATATTTACGATGAACTCACGAATCGGCCGGAGACTGGTACATATATGGGATACAATGTACACATAAATAATTACATAGATACAATTAGGCGCAGTTCGATTTTATGTACACGATGGGAACGACGTATCGAGTCGATTTTTATGCTCGGCATGTTGTTCATAATTAGTAACGATAACTCGTTCCTCTGGGGTCAATCAACTCTTCAAACTAATATTACTAATATAAACTCACATCGTCCATCAATTTCACAGGACGCACTGAGCTCATCAATTGCAATCAAACCCAATTGTTAAAAAGAAAGGAAAAACAAAATTGCGAGAAACAATTTTGGTGTAGGAAGAATATAGATTTAACTATACTGATCGAAGGATTAAATCATTCTCCTTCAAGCGCAACAAAAAGACATTTGAAAAAGTGCTTTATGTGAAAGTGCTGATCACAGACACGCCTGCGCGACGTGTGATCGACACTATATACCATAAGATCGGGTACGATTGCGCTAGCAGACCAATGTAATGGGGGTAAATGACTTTGCACTAAAAAGAAAGGATTTTTAAATCGTGTGAGATCATCTATCGCGGTGTAAGATGAATCCCTTTCTATCCTCTTAAATATATAATTTTGGATTAATTTTGTCCTAATAACTCAAAATACTCATATTTCTTCAACTACTGATATTGAGCATAAAGGCCATCTCTCGCAAACTACGTAAATATGTAGAATAACTGGTAAGCTAACAAGTAAAACAATTAATTTTAGGTAGATCTAAATAATATCTATAAATTTAAATTTTATATAATTACGAGGTATTTAATAATAATAATAAGAATAAGAATAATACATTAATAAACTAAATTGACTAAGGAATGTTTTTACGAGGAAGACCAATTCTGAACTATCCACTCTAAAAAGACTATCCACTCTTTGTAAGCTGCATATTAAATTAATAAAATTCAAAATCAATTAACCGTATTTGTGTCGACAATTACACACGCAACAACGATATAAACAAATATCTAAAATGACTCATATAAATGGTAACTTCGAAATATCAAAGAACTCTATAATTATTCTTAAAAATAGTACAAAGTCTGATGCAGAATTATCCCTGCTTGCACAATCTTACGCCGCCCTACATGAACAGTTTAAACCTATATATATATATCCACACATTCTTTCGACTTCTTTTGCTAAATCTTTTTGCGAAAGAAAGTGCGATCAATCGAGAATATCCTTACACTACTGATTTGCCAATCATTTCAAGACAATCATTAAGGCATTGCTCGAATCTCGACAGGATCATTATTCTTCATCAATCGCGAGATGGAGCAAACCATAAATCACATATCTCTTAAAAATGAAAAGCTAAACTACAGCATTGTAAATAAATATTGTGCTTATGCCTAAAAGCATTTCTCTCGATAAAATAAAGGAAGTATTGTATACGCGATTTATGGCATATCCAGCACGCGTTTGTAGTACGATACACTGAATCCGCATGTACGGGACACAATAACAATCATAAATTATTCTACATTTTATGCACGCAATGCTATCCCTCACAAACAGAGAAAGATCTCCATTTTATAGAAATAGCGACAGAAAAGCGGTGATGCGACGTCTTCAGGTTAACCGATCTCAAAGAACCAATATTCTCGCCCTTCTATCTTATTTATCCTAAGTGATGAAATAAATATTCATGTATCGGTTGATCAATCGTGGAATATACGTCAAATTAATGTGACGGTTGTTAGACATGATGAAGCTTCGAGTGATACTTACGAAAAAGTCACTGTGCTCTATCATTATTCTTAGCTATTTATTCCTACTGTTTTTTATTCCATTTTATTTATTTAAATCAAGAAATGCACGATTTCAGATTAATGTTCAATCCGTAAACATCTTTTCGAGAAATACGCGGCAAGAGATTCACTGACTTAAGATTCTGATAATTTAAAGGATCTCAGAAAACTAATAAATGAAAGCGCGACGAAACTTTCAAGTTTAATCCTCCTCCGAAAGTCGCGCAGTATATCTTCAAAAGAGCAATATGTACAGAATAAAAATTCAACATGTAGTGCGTTATCTTCCATAATTTCGATAACCAATAAAACGATGAATAGATTGAAAGTACATACATTCCTACTTTTATTGTACGAGTATTTAAGTATGATAAAATATCTGATCGTTGATAAAACTAAAATTCTTCGTAACTATAAGAAACGAACTATGTATTTTAAAAATACTGCAAAATACTGCAACTTTCGGGGATCGGCAGGAACAAATTCGGGTCACGTAATCTCTAATCTCGCGTAATTTACGTGAAAAACTATTGCCGATTAATATTTTCTTCACGCGTATTTAGCATCAAGTTACGGCTACCTAATCCTGATTTTATTTAAAATGAAAATCTCGTAGATGAGATTATAAAACCGAACAGCCATATGCAGCGGTAATGTACACAATGAGAAACACAGTCAAATCCAATTATTCAATACTAGTGTTATCAATTAAGTACCAATGAGCATGCCAAAATCGGCAACAGTGCTCCTGGTTGATGCACGAATTATTTCGACTAAAGTCGCGCCGACGGCTTCGATTAACTCTAACTCTTTAAATTATATTTTTATCAATACTGTGGAAACAGAAAATGAAAGTCTAATAAATACGGTTAGCTTTGAAACCTGGATTGTACAGTGTTCCTTTTGAATTAATACTAAACCAATATAATTTTTAAGTTTGATATACACGCATGAAATCGTTTCTTTTCTATATCTATTAGTTCTATAAATAAAACTCTTTTCAAAGAATCTATTAGGAGAGCATAAAACGACATTTTTTAACACTGCTATTAAACTACCTTACTCATTAGACAATATTGTCAATTATCTTATTATTGTGTTAACTACCCTTAGTACTTTTGTAAAAAAAATCTGTTAACGAGAAAACATACAAATCAGGCTCGATCGATGCAATCGGCGCTAAATAACAAATAAACTGAACATTTCCGCTTGCTGAACGAAGTCGTTGGTAACTCCGGCAGACTCTGATCTCGTGTGGCATTCAAACGTTGAAGCGCGTCTCCGAGCCATCGGCGAGCATTAAGGTGACCGTACGATTGTTGATCCAGATTAGCCGTGCCAAGCGCATAGGATTCAATCGGGCCACATCGTTGATGGGCGCAGTACTGTAGGACTTCACGCAGCGAGTTTGCGAGTTGCCCAGGCCGAACATACCGCTGCTGGTTTGCTAGAAAGTCACGAAACAACCGCGCGTTATTTTCCAGCAAGATAAGCAAGATATATGTTATCAAAAATTGTATATCTTATTATATAAAAATAATATGAAATTAATTACTGACAATGAGAACAGAGACAAATAATTAGTTTTATAATTAATTA